GTGTGTGTGTGTGTGTGTGTGTGTGTCCGTGTCCCCAATGATTACTTTACATATAAATATCTATGTATCCTGCATTTCTCACTCCAAGATTATGTACATTTTCCTTATTAAAAATTTTTACAACTTTGAGTTCAGATCTGCAACAACTTAACTTTTGAATTTTATTAGTATAGCTATTATTTTTATTTATTTACTCAGTAATACTACTCCTTTGAATACTTTACACTCTAATTTTTTTTCTTTATAAGACAATCCTAAGAGATGACACTAATGTAGACATGCTATCTCCAAATATAATACTGTAGGTAATTTTTTTCTTTCCCTCCCAAGAAAACCGAGATTGAGCATAAAAGTGACAGTATAATTACTACAGAGATAATCACTCTAATTCAGAGAAAAAGTAATTAACAGAATGTTATACAGACCCACTAATAAATGAAATTTCTGTAGTTGAGAACTGTTGTTCAGATTTTAGAGACAGGCACTGTAGTTGAGACCTGTTGTTCAGATTTTAGATTTAAAAAAAATATATAAACTCACAGTATTCAACAATTAGGTGAAACAAGCATAAAAAGAACATTGAAAACAAAGGTATAGAGAATTCCTTCAGTATCTTTTTTTTAATATTAAATACCTTATTGTTAATACAACTTTATGTATCAAATTAACTTTTTAAACTTTGATTAGAGCAAGTATAAAACACACACACATACTACTCCTCTCACAAACATCAGACTATTTTGAAGCAATTTCTGGATAATAATTTTCATCTAAATATATACGCACTCAGTTAAATTTTAAAAGTAATTTTGTAAAATTGAAAGGAATACACAAGACTGTGATCATATTATAGTGGTAGATATCTGATTTATTTTTCTATCAACTTTCAAAAACTCACTAAAGTTATCAAATTTAATCATTAAAATAAAAATATCATTGTGTATCTAAGAAATTATACACAGAAAATAGATAAAAGATACAAAACAACTATGAAAGATCATCTCACCCCAGTAAGAATAGCAAAATTTAACAGAACAGCAAACAACAAATGCTGGTGAGGTTGTAGAGAAACTGGAACTGTTGGTGGGAGTGTAAAATGGTGCAACCACTATGGAAGGCTGTATGGCACTTTCTTAAAAAGTTGCAAATAGAAATACCATTTGATCCAGCAATTCCACTACTGGGAATTTACCCTAAAGAAACCATAACTACCACCCAAGCAGATATACGCACACCCATGTTTACTGTGGCTTTGTTCGCAATAGCAAAGAGCTGGAAACAACCCAAGTGCCCATCAACAAACGAATGGATAGTGAAGCTCTTGGCATATTCACACAATGGAATACTATGCAGCACACTGAAAAAGAAACTCATGAAATACACAAAATGGATGACCGTGGAGGACATTATGCTGAGTGAAATATCTCAGTCACAAAAGGACAGATATTGCATAGGGCCACTGTTGTAAAACGGGACTGACATCAGGGTTGAGAGAAGACAGAAAAGGAGGCGAGGAATCATGTATATTCCATCGAAACAGATGAGGGAGAGAACTGTTTAAAAGGGATGTCTGAATGGGTATTCTTGTCATTACACAAGTCCAGAGTGAAGGCTGCATAGTGTAGTGGACTCGGGGGTGGGAGGGATTGCATAACAGTGAAAGAGTTTTTCTTTTGCTTTTCAAGGAAAGAGTGAATTGGGGGTGTGGGGTAGGGAGAAAAGTGTAATAATAAATGACTGGAAACCCTAAGTCTCTGTAAACTTTCATTAAAATTAAAAAAAATTTAAAAAGAAAATAGATAAAAGAGAATGATAGATTAATTAACTATCCTCTGATTATCACATAAAAGCTTTATAAAATAATTCCAAAAACTAAAATATGTAATACATACTGGCAGTAATTTATTGTTCTCTGGAAGTGAATTAGCAAGATTCTCTAGTCCCTCATAATCTTCTAACATATAATAACATTCAGCTAAACGTTGTTGGTTTTGGCCTTGTACATAATATTGAACTGCATTCAACCTATAGGAATACAAAAAGAAAACTTTTAAAATTATTATATTTTCCTAAATACTTTCACCAAAATTGTTCCTTTATGAGAAAGACAAATATTAGTAGTATTCTATTCTTCATCAGTTATAGAATACCTTTAAAGAACAGAAATGGGGGGAGAAAATTTAAATACTATAGCATATTTTAATAGTAATATTCTTTGAATATTCATAAGAAATGTTCTTTAATCTGATATATAATTGCAGTATTCCCCAAAATTACACAAATAGATGAGCATAGAGATTAAAATGGAAGACAAAAATTTCTATTATACTCCATAATAACAAAACAAAGACACTTTTTTCAGTAATAAATCATTCAACGTCCTAGAACAAACCGTTTACTTGAATCTCAGGAGTTTAAGGCTGCCTGCTATTTCACCTGAGCACAAAGTTTATGAGTTTGAAAACCCCACCGTGTTACACTGTTCATCCTTTAATTTTAGGGACCCCCTCCTCCACCAATGTGAATGTAGAACTATTTGAATTTTAGGATCAAGGAGGATGGTTTTTATTTCCATAGCATTCTTTCACAGTCCTGTGCTCTGGTAGCTACAATGAAAAGTGCTACATGAACAGAAGCAGTGGTCTGGACTGGTTACATACCACTTTTGCCGATCAGCAAAGTAATCTCCAACAGCATTGTGGGCTTGCTCAAGGAGACTGTCATCTGCATCACCAGATCCAGTTTTCAGGAGTTGGAGCACTCTAAACCAATCTCCCAATTTCAGTCGAAGACCGATAGCAAGATCCCTACAAACAGTGGCATTCATTCTATCAACAAATATTTCAGTTTCTAAAATTCTAAGTGCTGAGAACACAAAGCAGTGAATTAGACAGGGGAAAGCAACTATCTAAATATTTAGTAGTACTCTAAAAAATTAGCTTTATACATTTTCATGTAATTTAGCCTAAGTGGGTAAATATGTGATGGAAAGAGTCAGCAATGAAAAAAGGAAACAATTTTACTTTCCTCAAACTTTTAATTGTCCACAAAATGTTGTTGCTGTGTACCATCAAGTTAAAATCAACCCACAGCTGATTCTCCAGTGAGTTTTCAGAAGCAGCAAATCACACTAAAGGAGACTGTCCATCTTTCTCCCATGAATCAGCTGGTGGAGTCAAACTGTCTACGTTTGCAATGGCAGCTCAATTTCTTACCACTAAGCCACCAGAGCTCCCTTTCCACAAAAGTATAACAATTTATTTTCACCAATTACTTAGATATGATCAGATTTATCTCAAAATAAGAAATAAAGCAAACAGAGGTTTAAAATTTCTATTCTGATTTTAAGTGTTGTATTAGGGAACAACTGTAAGTAAAAATACCACTAGTGAAAATTAGACACAGTAATGTTTACAGTTATAATGAAGTCCCTAGATTATTATGTAGAAATTTAAAATAAAAAGAATAAAACAATATCTAAATGCCTTTATTTTGTGTTACTTTTATTGTATGCTTTTTATCTGCAGAATTAAATAATGGCTTAATTCAATAAAGAGAAATCCAAATAGTGAGCTAAGTAACAAATAGCAAAAAGCTACCCAGCATCTGAAGTCCTATCATATCCTCAGATTTCTTTTCCTACTAAATGAAAATTTCCTAAAGTCAATCATTTATAAATGACTAAGAAAATCTAAGGAAATTTTTTCTAGGATTTTCTAAGAAAATCTAAGAAAAACCTTAAACTCTAATAAAAAAGCTGTCCCCAAATTGCAAAACTTAGCTTAAGGAGGAATATGTAGAATATATATTGTAATCTAAAATCTTGCTTACATGTTATTGTTGTTGTTAGGAGCCATCAAGTTGAGCACGACTCATAGAGACCTTGTGAACAAAAGATCTGAACCCTGTTCTATCCTGCACCATCCTCACACTTCCTGAAACACAAGAGCCCACTGCAGCAGTAACAGTATCAATCCACCTGGTTGAGGGTCTTCCTAGTTTACATACCTTAGTTCTATTTTTTAAAATATCAAGAACCCTGGAAGTGTTCTGGAGTTCCTGGATATTGATAAATTACCTTCTGTCCATATCAAGATACATTCTTTCAGCTTCTTCAAACCTGCCAAAGTAGGCAGCAACTTCAGCCTGCTTCATTGACTCACTCTGTAGATTGCCCAGACACTTCACAAACTTAATGCCTTGATAGTCCTTGCAGCGAACAAATGCTTGCTCTGCAGTTTTTAAGTCCAGTTTCTGAAGAGCTGCTTCAGCTAAGAGGCGCCTTTATTTATTTATTTTAAAAAAAGAAAGAAGATCTAAATTACCAATTCAAATTATGGATAATCATGTCTTGAATAAGAATTCAACTATCCAACTTATTTATTATTTCCTGGAAAAATTAGCTAAGAAGTTGTCTTACATATCACTTTATCATATTTGGACATTTTTGATAGAATACCATACTTACATTGAGAATTTCCAAATCTAAGATTAATTTCTATACTTTAAAAAGAATAACAAAAATTAAAGGTTGTTCCCATCAAGAGGCTGGGATAAAAAGCTGAGACTTGTGCTCGCTTCGGCAGCACATATACTTAAAAAAAAAAAAAAAAAAAAAACGCTGAGACTTTAAAAGCAAACATCTGACATTGTGGGAGTTAGTGTTTTGTTTGTTTTTAGATACCAAAGTCGCGGGTGTGGATTGTCCTCTATAAACTGAGATGCATCTTCGATTCCAACTTTCTCAATCAATGCCCGGCTGTCTCGCAGGGACCGAATTTCAAAGTTAATTATGCAATCTTTGTTTGGATGTTCAGGGTTCTAAAAGAAAAAGTGAAAAGAGTGGAATTTCAGATAGTTGTATTAGAATATTTATGTTTTACAATTTTAAAAAATGTACCATATTGAAATCTAAAGCAGAAAAGAAAGATGTCTATGTTTTGGGTCTTTAAAACAACCCCTTACTATCTTATCTTTCCCTTCATCCAACTCCTCTATTTATCAATTAAGGAACTCCAGCAAAGTAGTGTTCATATGAGAATATCATGAAGTTTGGATTCAAATGCACCTGGGCTCAAATCTTCAATCCAACGCTTATTAGCCAGGTGACTGCTCATTCTCTTCCCTGTATCTCATTCTCAGCCCTGTAAGAACCACAATTACCTTCACAAAACATAAACTTGGCCATCTCACTCGCTTGCTTTACTCCCTCACTGACTCCAAGATGAAGTCCAAATTCCACAGTAAGGCATGCTATGTCTTTTGTGGCCTAACCCATGATTTCATTTCTTTCTGCTGGCTCTGCATATTACACACAGGAACTTTGATGCCAGATGGCCTGAGGTAAAGTTATGCCTCTTCTCATGCCCTAATGGGTAACAGTGGCAAATCAGCTCACCTCTCCAACTCTCAAATCCCACTTCTCTGAGTTGTAGGATAAAGGAACTTGTAGCAAGAGTTTAACACAAAGCCTAACTCTATTATTCAAAGCTCCAGTACTGACCTAAAGCTTTCTCTTGCTGCACACCTTTGAACAGAAACACAAACAATGACTGAATCAGTGTATCTGCAATTCTTTTCCAAAACAAGCTAGTAAGAATTTAATTTTTTCAAAATTACCTGTAATATCTCATCCAAAAGAACAGATTTAATTTCTAAATCTTCAAAGTTACAAATATATCCAGAAGTCTGAATGGGTTCCTTTAAAGACAAAAGCAAATGTTATGTTTAATTATGGAAAATTCTCTCTCCTTTAACATATCTCAATTTTCAATTTTATCACCAAAATTTTCAAATAAACTATGTTGTTATGTACCGTCGAGTTGCCTGTGACTCACAGCGACCATAAAACAGCCCTTAACCCTGCTCTATCCTGTGCCAATCTTATTGTCTCTGACACACCTACCCCCACCACCCCAGTCACTGAATCAATCCATCTCATCGAGGGTCTTCCTCTCTTGCACTGTCCTCCACTCTCCCAAGCATGATAATATGTCACCATAACAATTAGCATTTTCTCATTTTAAAATTTCTATCTGGGGATATAATTCATAAGGCTCTTATATCATGTATGTTGTTGTGTACCACTGAGTCAGAACTGACCATAGTTGACCCTCCAGGGGTTTTCAGAGGCAGTTAATTATATGGGATGGGACTGCCCAGCCTTCTTCCAAGGAACAGCTGGTGGTCCCAAACCACATGCCTTCAGGAATACAGCACAGCTTCTTGCCACTAGATCACCAGATCTCATAAGCCCCATTATGGATAAATTTATAAATAAAAACCATGCATGTATTGAGGGTGTTCAAAAGTCTGTATATCCCTGGCTTAGAAAGGAGAGTAAGTATACAGAAATAAGAGACAGTAGATGAAATTTTGAAATACGAAAATAATATGAATATACAGTTACAGAATCCTGTGTGAGGAAAGTCATAAAGACAAAGTTCTTCTAGTCAAGAAAGAAGCACAAAAATTGAATCTGTACCTCAAGAGAGACTGGAGAGGAAAACTATCAAATGGAATTTTATCATTAAACTCTCTTTTTCTAACTCTCAAAGATAATTTCAAAATAGTAAAAATATATTAACTCTTAAACAACAGCTTATCTCATGAAGAGACATGTACTTCTATAGCTGTCAGTCTTGTAAGTGCTCTTGTTTTGAAGAGCATGTCCTTACACAGTATCAGTGAGCTCTTGCCAATAAGGAGCTGCACTGCCAACTAAAGGAAGGCAATTTGAATCCATCAGTTGCTCCTCAAGAGAAAGATCGGCAATCTCCCCCCATGTGATACACAACCTCTAAAAAACTGCTAGAGGGTCAACTATGACTCAGTTCCAACTCAATAGCACATAGCAATATGTCCTTACATGACTAATGATCAGCTAGAGGAATGACAGTAGAGCAACTACCCAAGAGTGATTACAGTAAACCAGTGTCTCCACAAAGAATGAAAAGAACACAGTACAGCTTATGAAGAAGTCTAGTCTTTATAAAGACCAGTGGTGAGGTTGTAAATCTAATAGAAAGTGAACTAGTTGCCAAACCAGAAAATAAATTCAAATGAAAAAAAAGAAGGCCCTTCTGTCAAAATTACTTAAAAAACACTTTCCACCAGGCAAAGATTTCACTTGGTACAAAACTGACCACAAGTGCTACACACACATTATGAACAGCCAGGAACAACAAACACTTAAAATTCAGCATACTGTTTTCTCACTTGGGAACTAGTGGGGCTAGAAATAGGGGAAAATTCCCAATAGTTGAGAAGAATATTCTCCTAACCTCAAGGCCAACTAGTGACTTATTACCTGCTAGAATTCCACACTTGCTCTGTGAAAAGGGACTTCCTTTTGAGCTATGAAAAGGGTCCAAACTAACATGTCAAATTTAGCAGTTCTGAATGCTAATCACTTAAACCATTACTTAGGGTCAAAAAATTATGAAAATCCCTAAGATTCCTAAAAAACTTTATCAAAGTCTTTGAGAGTAATTTTTAATGGCTTGCTTGACAAATCAAATATCCAAACAAAGAAATGTTAGAAGAATGTAAGACACTAAAGAATTAAATCACTTCCCACTAAATAAATTACTGCCAAAGATTGGCAGCTCAGTGGTCAAAACATGCCATTCCTTTCCAAGTAGTAAATGATAGGGTCAAACAGAAATTAATAACACAAAGCATTTATTAATTCATCACTTATTATTTACACTAAAAGGGGAATGGAGAAGTACAGAATATTCAAAATTAAAAGCCAAATCTCTAAATAATTCAAAAGTTGTTTAACAGTTACTGTCTCTTAAAAAAATATTTTTATTAGACTACCAAAGCATTTGTATTTCCTAAACACAACAGCTAAGAAATGGTCCAAAAGCACACTAAAGAAAAGGGAAATTCAGAGCCTAATCATTAGCCAATGAAAACAAAAAAAAAAAAAATTAAATAAATAAAAATAAAAATGCACCCATGAACATGACGGAAATGGACACTTCCTGACATCTTTCTTAGTTATTGGTGCTGGTATAATTGAAATACCGTTAGCAGATCGCTCTATCAAACAGAAGCTTATTGTCTCTCAGTTTAGAAGACAAGAAGTTTGAATTTGGGACACCAGGTGTTGGAGAAGGCTTCTCCTCTCTGTCAGCTCTGAAGAAAGGTCTCTAGCTCTTCTGAACTATGTGCTCCTGGGTGATCTTGTTCTTAGCATCTCCCTCCATTTTTCTTTACTAGCCAGAGCTTAATCACTTTCATATTTTAAAAGATATTGGTTCTAGATATACTCTATACTAAACATGCCTCGTTAGTATAAGAAAGACACCCTACTGCCAAATGGGATAATATCCAAAAGCAGAGCTTATAATTAACAACACATTCTTTTGGGGGGGACACATTTCAATCCATAATTACACCCAAGTGAGAACAGATTATCATATACACTTACATATTCCAAACAACATCTGTGTTAGAAAGAACACAGATCAGTCAGAGAAAATATAAATTACAAATAAGTCATGGTAAGCACCAAGGAAAATGGATAGGTATGCAGAAAAAAATGAAAGGGCAAGGGAATTTCAAGATGGCATGGGTTTTTTCTTTGCTAGATTGGACTAAGAAAACAGTGCTGGTGGCTTAGTGGTAAGGAATTGCGCTGCCAACCCAAAAGCACACAGTTCAAAGCCTTTAGCTGTTTTTCATGAGAAGGATGGGCAATCTCCTCCTCTGTGATTTACTGCCTCTGAAAACCCTCTGGAGGGTCAGCTATGGGTTGGTTCCATCTCAATGGTACTTAATAACAACAAGATTGGTATAAGAAATTTTAGTAAATAAGGCTATTTCATTTCATCAATCTAGACAAGGGGAAAAGAAAAGATTATATAGTGATTATAGTTTCATCATAAAAGAAAAACATAAAAAGTCTTTTTCAGAGCATATTTAACAGATAAGTATTGTTCCTACTTAACAAGATTTAAAAATCCCACAGAAATGTTTCTATTCATTTTTAGAAATCTCTGAAGCCAGTACCAACAAACTTCTTGAAGAAACAAAGGGAAATTATCCAGGTTTTATATTTGGCTCATTTATTATGCATTATTTGAGTTAATTTCATGGTTTTACCTCAGGATCCAAGTTTCTGAAAACATACATTCTTGTTTTCTCCATCATTGCAAACAAATCAGGGTTATCTTTGGCCCATTTCATATCCCAGACATCTTTGCGCTCAAATTTTAATGACTCGCCAATTATTTGTTGTCCCGTACTGTCTGTTATCCGAGCATCCAAATCAAAGAAAGTCAGAACTCCTGAAATGTCTATGATAGCAAGCCGACTACAAAGAATGAAAGTGGGTAAGAAGGAAAATGTAAAGTTACTATCAGCAATTATAAATATAATTATCAATAACCATTCTTCAAAGTTGGTTCACCAGAAGCCTGGGCATAAGGCAGAAATGACGCTGTAATAAATAAATGGCTCTAAATTTTTTTTTTTCATAAACTTGACAGAATGTATGGATTGATCTACCTTCTGCTTCCCTGAAATGAAGTTGTATCCAAGGAGTTTAAATCAACAGATACATAAATATAAATAATCTCGAGTCAATTTTTTTCATTAATTTCAAAGAACATACACAGAAGTTTTGGAATTCCATTCATTCATTGTTGCACTTTTCTCCCTGCCCCCCTCCCACCCATCCACCCCCTCTTCGCTCTTCTTGAAAAGCAAAAGAAAAACTCCCTCATTAGTACACAATCCTCACCCCAACCCCCACCCCAAGTATACTCCACTCTGCAACCCTCATTCTGGACTCTTATGATAATCATAATACCCTAAAATACATTACTTTTAAACTGTTCTCTCCCTCATTCGATTCAAAGCAGTAAACTCTTAAACTAGTATTTCCATATACCCAGCCAGAGAAAGCATTTAAACCCACCAAAGGATAGCAGAACTATATTAAACTGTGAGATACGTTTAAATTTTACGATTATCACATAAAGATAGCAATTTCAACTGGTACTTCTAAGTCTAATTTCTACATGAGGAGAAATTTCAGCCTTACCTGGAGTTGCAATTCAGGGACAGTTGGTAGGCTCGACAGCTGAGGGAATACTTTTGAATCAAACCAACATTAGGAAGACTGTATCTCTGAATAGTGCCAGATTCACGACCCTATGAAAATTACTTTGATTACTAAAATGTACCTACCATATATTAGATAAATATATACCAGATATATTTATGGTCCTATTTTTTCTTTAATTTTTCAAAACCAAAGGGACAGTGTCATGACAGTTCTACAACAGAGTCAGGGTGGTGTGCAACACAAAATTTATCTCCTAACTTATTTTAAATCTTCATAATAAAACTATCGAAAGTAGCCTTGAAACAATTGTTACTGAAAGTCTAGGCTTTTAAACCATAGCTATATAACTGATAATAGTTTGGTAAGGGGAAAGGACTATCAGAAAGCAATGATACAATGAATATTAGCAAAAATGTGCTTAAAAAAAAAGAAAATAATTTGCTATACCAGGCTGTGCAAAGTGTAAGGTTTTCAGAACAGTAACAAGTACAACAGGCAGTAGAGAACTGTGCTTTCCAATCTTTCCTGTGCCTGAAGGTGACTGCAAAAGAAAGGACAAAGTGGCATCTTTCAAACGGCCAATCTTTGACTCTATCCCTTCTTACTTTTATTAGAACAGTATTGCTTCTGTAGCAATATTTTCAAGAGAATCGTCTCAGAAAGTGGGGAGAAGGGAATTTTTCATGTGTAAAAATGAAGACGGGGAATTTGAAGATACCCTTTATTAGGGTATTAAGATTTTTGTGGCTCTGTAGCTTAAAACATTTAGAAAAATAATAGTTCTAAAGCCTGTTTACATTTTGTGGAAAGCAGATTTAATTTTTGAAGTACTTTCACCTTGACTTACAGGTAGATTCTGTAATTTAAACATTTAATTTCTGTAATTTGAGCTGTACATCTTTTTAAAATTCCACAAACACTACTAACTCAATAAAAAATTACCATATATCAAAAATTTTTTAAAAACTCAGGAGATTTCATAGACCTCACTACAAGAAATATTGCTTAAAGTATATACCAAATTCATTCAATGATAAAAAATGAATACTAGCACTTAAGCTATGGGGGGGGGGGGGTTCTCCTGTAAAATTAGCTAATAGCAAAGAAACATAGCCAGAACTGGTACTAAGCACTATTCAGGCTCTGTTTACATAATTCTAATTCATAAATTACCTGCATTACTAGATTAAAGTAAATACCTCTTTCTAAAACTAATATTTTCAATGAAAGAACTTGAAACATGGCACTATAACATTGATTCAATTTGAAAAATTCTGCAAAACTTTGCCATAGACTTTCCTATTTTACTAGTTGGCAAACACATCATCTTTTCATTCTATTATGAAAGAGGCTAAGGGTCTCACAGAGGAAAACACTTTCTGAGACTTACTACCATTATTCAATCCACATCATCCAATCCTTTACAGGGCTCATTCAACCTAATGATACAAACTCTGAGTGGACTTTATCTTCTCGGAAGGTCATCATTCTATCACTAATACAAACAGCTAGTTTTATAAATTATAAACAATTTGTAAAATAGTATTTCAAACTTTTCTAATTTCTTATACTAAGGAATACCTGGGGTGCCAACAAGATTATATTCAAATTCAAAACACATTACTTCGTCATTGTTGTTGTTAGGTGCCCTCAAGTTGTAGACCACTCATAGCGACCCTATGAACGGAAGACCTGAGCACTGTTCATAGAGTTTCTGGAGACAAGCCATTTTGGACGTGGATGCCCCTCCTGCTTCCAAACTTGTTTTAATCGGGAAGCTCCACCAAACACTGTCCGCCATGGGTAACCATTATCACATGTGGCACATCAGTGTCACAGTGTTTAGCATCACAGCAACCAATTAAAACAATTAATATTCTTAAAGTAAATGCTTTACAATTTACCACAATCAATGTCTTATCAGATGCAGTTATGGCACAAATTGGATCCCGTGTTCCCTAAAATACAATAATCAATTGTTAGTCTTCAATAAACATTCATTAAATGACTATTATTCTATAATACGAGTTATTCAGTAAGAACATTTTAACAATATGAATATTAGTTGACTGATTTATTGATTGCTTTTCTACTAGGTAGCAAGAAGCTGATCTGCTATCCCAAAGGCACGCGGTTTGAGGGTACTAACTGCTCTGTGGGAGAAGGTTCAGCAATCTCCTCCCGTGTGATTAACTGGTTCTGAAAACCCGCTGGAGGGTCAGCTACTGGTCGGTTCTGACTCTATAGTACTCTACAACAACTATATGCCAGACATTGAAGTAAATTATATTACATGTGCCTTCAGAAACTACTCAAAAGTCTACTGGTGAAGACAGTCAACATAACTACCAATTAAAATACAATATAATAAGAATCACCTGAAAAATTGAATTAGTTAAAAAATGTCTGCTGAGAACACTATACTTTTTTAAGAATTATCTATGTAATCATCTATATGGGGCCAAACTGACAATTGACATATGCTTTTCTGTGAATATTTTAAACAATAACTAATTATTTTTTTTAAAAAAGCAGAGTCAGACACAAGACATTACAAAAGCACCAAGAAACAAGCATCTGATACCAAAACTATCATGGAATTAACATCTGAGTTTAGTCTTTAAAAAATGAACAGAAGGTAGAAGGAACTCAGAGAAGGAAATCAAGAAAGCAATACCATTTACCACAGTCAGCCACAAATTGAGATAACTTGGGAGTGAACCTAACTAGAGAAACAAAAGACCTATACAAAGAAAACTACAAAACATTTCTGCAAGATACAATAAAGGACCTAAAGAAATGGGAAATTGTGTGCTGTCCATGCACAGGAAGACTCAATATTGTGAAAATCCTACCAAAAGCAATCTACATGTTCAATGCAATCCCAATTCTGACAGCAAATTCATTTTTCAAGGAGATTGGAAGGGAAAATATAAATTCATTTGGAGAGGCAAGAGACACCGAATAAGCAAAACACTTCTGAGAAACAAAAATGAGGTTGGAGGTATAGCACCCCCTGACCTCAAAACCTACTACACAGCAGAAGTAACCAAAACAATATGGTACTGGTACAATGACAAGCGTATAGACCAATGGAACAGAATTGAGAACCCAGAAATAGACGCAGCTATCTTTGGTCAACTGATATTCAACAAGGAAGTCAAAGCTATCAAATGGTGCTGGCAAAACTGGACTTCCACCTGAAGAAAGCTGAAACAGGATCCACATCCCATACCATACACAAAAATCAGCTTAAGGTGGATCAGAGACCTAGGAGTAAAGCTCCAAACCATAACATTCTTAAGAGACAAACTGGGATCAGGCTTAGAAGCGCTAGTCCAAAGTGTAAAGAGACTGCCATATACAACCAGAAATGCACAATCTAAAGAGGATAAAATTGACACATGGGACTTTCTAAAGATTAAATCCATGTGTGCATCAAAAACTTTTTCCAACAGGGTGAAAAGAAAACCTACGAACTGGGAACATACATTTGGTAATACCATCTCAGACAAGAGTCTTATAACAAAAGTTTACAGAATACTCCTGGGCTTCCACAAGAAAATGACTGATAACCCAGTTACAAAATAGGCAAAAGACATGTAAAGAATTTTCACAGAGGAAGATATTTGAAAGGCAAACAGACACATGAAGAAATGCTCCAAATCACTGGCAATAAGAGAGTTGCAAATCAAAACCACAATGAGGTACCATCTCACTCCAGTAACAGTGGCAAAGCTTAACAGGAGAGCAAATAATAAATGTTGGAGAGGATGTGGCAAAAAAGGAACTCTGACACATTGTTGGTGGGATTGTAAAATGGTACAATGATTCTGGAAGGCAGTTTGGTGCTTCCTCAAAAAGCTGAACATAAAAACAACTATGAGATATCATCTCACCCCAGTAAGAATAGCAAAATTTAACACAACAGCAAGCAACAAATGCTGGTGAGGTTGTGGAGAAACTGGGACCCTTATTCACTGCTGGTGGGAGTGTAAAATGGTGCAACCATTGTGGAAAGTGGTGTGGTACTTTCTCAAAAAGTTACAAATAGAGATACCATTCGACCCAGCAATTCCACTGCTGGGAATATACCTTAAAGAGACCATAACTGACATCCAAGCAGATATATGCACACCCATGTTCATCGCGGCTTTGTTCACAATAGCAAGGAGTTGGAAACAACCTAAGTGCCCATCAACAAACGAATGGATAGAGAAGTTGTGATATATTCACACAATGGAATACTATGCTGCATTGAAAAATAAGGAACTTATGCAGTATTATTCAAAATGGGTGACCCTGGAGGACATTATGATGAGTAAAATATCTCAGTCACAAAAGGACAAATACTGCATGGTGCCACTGTTGTAGAAAGTGACTGACAATCAGGGTTGGGGTAAGACTGAGAAAAACTGGATAGATTATGTATACTTGAATTATGTATAATTGAAACAGATGAGGGAGAGAACAGTTTAAAAGTGATATATGATAGCATATTATGATTATCACAGGAATCCAGAACTAAGGTTGCATAGTATAGTGCATTGGGTGTGGGGTGGGGCTATGGGGGTGGGGGTCAGGGGATTGTATACAACGAAGAAGTTTATCTTTTGCTTTTCAAAGAGAGGAGCAAACTCGGGGCAGGGGGGTAAAGAAAAAAGTGCAACAATGAATAAATGAAAATCCAAAATCTCTGTAAATGTTCAATAAAATTTAAAAAAGCTGAACATAGAAATTCCATATGCTATTACACTACTTGTAATATACCCTGAGAGTATGAGAACTGAGGCACAAACTGAGATTTGTACACCAATGTTCATAGCAGCATTATTCACCATCGCAAGAACATGGAAACAGTCCAGATGTCCGATGACAAAGGAATGGATTGAGAAATTATGGTACATTCACACAACAGAATACTATGTGGCACGCAGGAGTAATGATTTTGTACATTATTACCTAACTTGGGAGGGACTAGAGAGCATTATGCTGAGTGAACTAAGTCAGTCCCACAAGGATAAATATTGTATACAACCATTATTGTAGAATGAGTATAAGGATCCAAGAGGGGTGGAAGCAGAGAAATGAGGATGGGAGGGGAGGTTAATCATGGAGTTGTATGATTTGATGGGGGTGGGGTGAGGTAAATAGAAAGCCTTTGTTCTTAGAAATAATGTATTCTAATTTTATGAATAAACTAGTAGAAAATTAAAAACAAAAACCTACAAAAGGTAAAATGGCACTGAAACAATCTGGATGGGCCTCAATCCATTATGCTGAACAAAAAAAGTCCATTTCCAAAACTGATATACCTTAGGATTCCATTCATACAACTTTTGTAGTGACACAACTATTGAGATGGAGAAGAGATCTATCAGTGCTTTCTAGCGATCAGAGGCAGGAGTAGAGAGTGGATGTAAATATAAAGGTCAAACCTACACAGGGGATAAAACTTTATAGAGGTACACACAGACACACACACACACACACACACACACACACACACACACACGTGCACAAACATACAAAGAAACTTCATAGGGTCTCTACTGTAGTTGAATGTATACCAGTTTCCTGGTTTTGATATTGTTGTTAGTTGCCATGCAATCAACTAACACTCATAGTGACCCTATGAACAATCTTGTCAGATCTAAACCTAGCCCTATCCTACACCATTCTGATCATCTCTGTTACGCTCAAGCCCACTGCTGGAGTCACTGTATCAATCCATCCTGAAGAGGATCTTCTCTCTTACTCTGACTCTCTACCTCACCCAGGCATGATTCCCTTTGCCAAGGACTTGCCCTCTTCACAAAATGCCCAAAGTATGTGAGGCAAAGCTTCACCATCTTTGTCTCTAAGGAACACCCTGGTTGCACTCCCCCAAAACAGACTTGTTTGTTCATCTGCCAGTCCAAGGGATATTCAGTACTCTTCTCCAATACCACAATTTAAAGGCATTGATTCTTCTTCTCTAATATTTATTCACTGCTCAACTTTCAGGAAGTTGAGCACAGGAAGTAAAATGACCATGGTTTGGGGCATGTGCACCTTAGTCTTTAAACTGACATTGCTGCTCTTGAGTATTTTGAAACAGTCCGAAACAGCAAATTCTGCTAATGTAACATATCTTTTTTATTTCTTGACTGCTGTTACCATGAGTGCTGTCTGAATAAAACAAGGTTTAAAATCAGGAAAAGTGTGCTTCAAGGTTGTCTCCATACCCATTTAATTTGTTGGCTGAGCAAATCATTCAAGAAGCTAGACTGTATGAAGAACATTGTGGCCCCAAGATGAAAGGAAGACTCAACAACTTTTGTTATGCAGACAACACAACCTTGCTAGCTTAAATGAAGAAAACTTGAAACATTCTAAAAGATCGAAGACTACAGCCTTCAATATAGATGACATCTCAACATCAAGAAAACAAATATCCTCACTACTGAACAAATACACAACATCATGAAAGATGGAGAAAAGATTGAAGAAAAGTTTTTCAATGATTTCATTTTGCTAGGGTCCACAATCAACACCTATGTCAAGAAATCAATATATATGCTACCCTAAAAGATTCAAGCTTAAATCTTCACATTGCTATCTAATCACTTACTTTATTATTCTAAATCAATCATTTATCTTCTCTATAATTTTCCATTTGATAAAATGGAGAAGAGATTCTATGCTCATTTTGCCTTACAGATTTGAGCAACTCAGGTAAGAAACTGGGTAGGAAAGAGCATTAAAAACAGTATGACTGAAATTTAAATATTTTAAGAAAATTGTATTTAATATTGCACACTAAAGTAGTTAATTATACTAGTTTTATAACCAAAAATATATTTCTGTGAAGATAGGCTGAATTATATTATCTGCAATAATACAGCTACCTTCGAATATGCCAGATGTGACCATGCTAGGAAGAAAAAGAGGAGAAGCGAGTAAAAGCAGGAAAGAAAAAGGAAATATTTTTATATAATACATTTTTCTAAATAGTATCACAATAAATATATATCATTATTTTAGTGAAAGAGTTTTCAAGATCGAGAAAAACTTTTTAAGAACAGGAATTTCTTTATAGAGTTCCTAATATATTGGTAAAAGAAAGGGGAAAAGTCTGGTGTGAAAAACAATGTATATGAACTTTATGTACTTTGTATGTAAACCAGTATAAAATAATTTTTTAAAGTCCCTAATATGTTATTTATTGGAAAAAAATTCTTTGTCAGATCTCAAAATCAAATTACAACATTTCTAGTCTATAGGTTCTAAGATTTGCTATAAGAATAAAATCACCTACTTGAATGGCTTTACTGTAATCAAGCACTCCATCCAGTGATCCAGAAGGAGTATCATCAACATGATAAATTCTGTTAAAAAAATAAAAATTACAAAAAAAAAGTGTGAGGATTAAACTATTTCATAACCTTGAGAACAATTATAGGTTGATACCAGTTGATATTATTATTTAATATAAACATCCTGATTGTTTTGAAGCATTCTCAACACACCTAAATCATTTACTTGTTATGTAAGTGATATGTTACCTTAAATACATAAATAAACATTGGATCACATTTTCCTAATGAATGTCATTAAAACCTGAGAGATTTTATTTTAATCTCCAGTTAAATACTCGTTATGAATAATTTTAACGTATTAATTTTTTTTATTGCTACTCCATAATTATAAGGTCTTCACTATATTTATAAAACCTCAGGGAGCTCTGGTGGCCTAGTGGCAAGAAGCTGCACAGCAATCCCAGAGGTATGCAGTTCAAATCCACCAGATGCTACGCTGGAGAAGGAGGGACAATCTCCTCCTGTACCAGTCAGATCTGATTTGATGGTACATGCACAAAAAAAAAAAATTAAAAACAAGCAAAAAATACCCTCAAATTATCTGGGAAACTTTAATTAATAAAATTTTTGTTTAGAAATAAGGACTGTTTCCCTACTGTCTCCTGCGTTATAAAGATGCACACCTTTGGATTTCTACAACCTCTTTAGTATTTTTATTAGAATATGTATTTACACTGCCACTTCTACTACACGATGATTTTCCTGGGGCAAAGCCTTTATCTTCAGTGCCATGCACAGTACCATACATTGCCAACTACGCCATAACATTTATGTATAAATAATAAAATGAAAAGAAGTGAATAAAGAAAACATTGTAGAGTATAAAGCCATGGGTAAACTATTTAAATTTTCTGAGTCTCATTTCCTCCATTTGTAAAATAAGTGTAAGAATTCCTACCAGCTCTGGTGGCCTAATGGCAAGAGGCTGCACTGCAATCACACAGGCACGTGGTTCAGTGCAGTTCAGTTACTCCGTGGGAAACGGACAGGCAATCTCTTCTGGGCAATTAACTGCCTCGGAAAAACCCACCAGAAGGTCAGCTATGGGTCACTTCCAACTCGATGGTATACAACAACAACAATAGTGTTCTTGGAAGACACAAATCAAACTAAATTTGTAAAGCACCTAAGCACAAAACCTGACACACAAAAAAGGAGTTCATGAGCTGGTAGCAGTAATACAAATCCAAGAAAATCATGGGATTTTCTACATTAAAAATAGTGTGAAATTTTATCATTAATTTATAATCATAATTGTGCATTCATCAATGCTATATAGAGATAAAAATCATAAATAAAATTAAATATACAGTAAACTCAGCAAAAGTTTGTACCTGTATAAAACAGGAATCTGTTAGAGAAGAAAAACTCAAATATTTTCCATTCAAGACAGCATTCAAAGGTGGAAATCTTGTGAGGTCTGGAAAAACAAGGAGGTCTCATAGAGCTCTGACTCTCACTGGTTTCACTGTATTAAAAATGTAGATACGGAGTACCTATAAATTAGTATAACATAGTATAGCTGGGAGCTCTGGCATAACGGTATAGATTTGAGGAGCGAACCTAAAGGCATATAGTTCAAATCCGCTGATTCCTCTACTGGAAAAATCAGGTAAACTCCTCCCATGAGATTTATGGCCTCTGAAAACCTACTGGAGGGTCAGCTACAAGTCAGCTCTGACTTGATGGTTTGTTGTTATTGTTGTTATGTGCTGTTGAGTCACCTACTACTCATAGCAAACCTATGTACAACAGTCCTAAACCCTGCTCTGCACTGTGCCAATTTCACTGTCTCCAACACACCTACCCCCATTACCCCAGTCACGGAATCAATCCATCTTATAGAGGGTCTTCCTCTCTTGCGCTGTCTCTCTATCCTCCCAAGCATGACGTCCCTCTCCAAGGACTTGTCATGTCCAAAGTATGTCAAATGCAGCTTTAGAATCCTTGCCACCAAGGAGCATCCTGGATTCACCCTCTCCATGATGAACCTGTTCATTCTCTTAGCAGTCCATGGTATATTCAATAATCTTCTCCAACACCACAGCTCAAAGCCATCAATTCTCCTTCTATCATCCCTAGGCTTGTTCAGCTCTCTGATGCATAACTAGTGATTGCAAAGACCATGACCTGCACCTTAATCTCCTGACTGACATCACTGCTCTTTAGTACTTTGGAGAGGTCTCTGACAGCAGACTTTCCCATTGCAATGTTGTTGTTGTTGTTATGTGCCGTCGAGTCATTTGTGATTCACAGCAACCCTATGTACAACAGCCCTAAACACTGCTCTATCCTGTGCTAATCACATTGCCTCTGACACACCCATCCCGATTGCCCCAGTCACTGAATCAATCCACCTCATAGAAGGTCGTCCCCTCCCGCGCTGTCCCTCCACCCT